GGGCAGGCGGCAGGCGGGAATCGAACTCATGCGGAAGCGGCTTCAGATTCTCAGTGCTGTGCTTTAACCCGCTGCGCCACCAGGGAGGGCCAGATGCCCGTGTTTTTATTTGCATAAATCCAGTAAAATGTTCCTTCCTAAAATTCTATAAAAAAAAGAAAAATGTGCTTCCTTTGTCTCTGTGCACACAGATGGCCGAATCCCTTTCAGAGTGCGTGCTCTTTAACAGTTGGGAGTCCAGGGTACCCTCTGGTCATGTGCTATCATGCCTTGCCTCCTGCCCATGGGTCTGAGTGAAAAACAATGTTTGTGAAAATGCTTTGTAATCTGAAAGCAATATACAGATGAATTATTTTAAAATACATCCACTCATAAGATTAAGTTCAATATTATTGAAGAATAAAACATAACATGTGCTTTATACACTAGTAAATAATTCAGTATGAGATTTAAAAAGCCAAAAGAACTGTTAAAGGAAGTTGTGGTACTGTGGACCACCAAAAATGGATTCATATCCTGGCTCTAATACTATTTGGTCAGTCACTCGAAAACTCTAGGTAAGTCCTGTAATAAAAGACCTATTTCAATTGTAAATTGTGAGGGTCAAATATAAAAGTCTGTGTTAATGTTTTTCAACTATATCAGACCTAGTGATCTCTTTTTATAACAATTTTTGAAGCATGCCATTCTCTATCTTGAAATAAACTCTCAGATCACAACTATAAACTAGAATCTAAGCTCTTTTCCACCTTTTAACAAGCTTAAGCCATAATTTAGCAATCCCTTTCAGAATTCTCCCTCCCCATTGGATTAGAAATGGATCCTTGTCTGAGTGCCCAACTTGCCAGTGGATGTGGCCAGGTTATTAAATTTTGGCTAATGGAATGTGAGTAAAGTAACACATGCAGCTTCAAATTCGTGTTTTCTCTTTCAACAAATTGTTTATAATTCTTTCCTTCCTTCAATGGACCAGATGTAGATGTGATAGTACAATAAACTTTTGACCCTTGGGGCCTACCCAGTGATGCAAGAGGTTAATTCTCAGCACTATGAAGCTATGTGCAGCCACTGCAGCACTTTTCGATTCCAGGCCAGGGTGGTGACCCACATGGCACAGCAGACCTCTCCTGTCTTGCCAGGTGCTCCCCTCAGCAGGGTATTTCAGTAGATCCATCTGTTCTGTTCCCCACTCTGTCTCCAGTGAATCCCTCACCCCTCACCCCAACACCTCTGGCCTGCACCCTAGATCTTGTATGCAAAAATAAGTAACATCTTTAAAAAAATAAACTTTTGACCTTCTAATGAGGACCACACCCTAAGAATCAGCATAACAATAAGATAGAAAGAACTTGGGAGCAAGGCTGTCTGATCTATTGAGACAAGGACCCCCTCCAACCCTGGGTCACTAGTCTACTTCTGTTCATATATGATGAAGACTAAGTCAATGAATGGCTCAGTAAGGTTTGGAATCTCTTTATTACATATTATGGTCTGTACTCTAATTAATACATTCAACTATATGAATAATTAAAAAACCCACAGTATAAAGAACACAATATAAATATATTATACTTGAAGATATAATCAATAAAAAGTTAGTTATCCCTAGCATAAAAAACGTTGGACTATAAGATTGAAATAAGCTTAAACTATGATAAACAGAGTCATTCTGTATAGGAGCTGGAGGAAAGTTTACCAACAGAAGTAATGGTAGACACATGAATGGAAATCATTTCTAGTTAAGCAGTAACAAATCAGATATTTATGTCTGATACACAAAAAAAAAAATACATTAAAATGGAGATAATATTCCAAAATTATAGATTGCCCAAGTATTATATTCTCTCAAATGGGCTTGGCAAATAATTCCCTCTGGAGAAAATAAATTCTTGGTGCTAAGACATGAGTTGATGGAAGAACAAAATATTATAGAGGAGTATCTTGATGAGAAAATGGAAAAAAAAAACAACAGTAACATGAGATGTAATAAAAAAATTTCAGATACTTTGGGGTACAGTATTAGAGTAAGACTATTCAAATATAACTTATTCAACAAAATAATATCCAAAATAACTCCAATATGTGAGGTTTACAATTTCTTCTCATTATAAAATAATTGAAAATATAATGGGGGTCAGTATTATATACTTAATGTTTATTTTTTAATTCATTGAGGTAAATACATTTTATTTGTTAATTTTGTAATATTTCATGTGATGACTTAAAAGGCATGTGAAACCTTTTGTTACATATTGTAAATATTTGCCATTGTTTCTTAGTAATTGTACTTCTATCTTTCCAGTTAAATGTATATTTGAAAATGCTGTGATATAGTGAATAGAGAATAAGTAAATTATTCAATGATATCAAGAACAGTGTGTTCATTCCATTTCAGCTTTCCTCTCCATAATAAGCCTTCTAAATTTCTTGGCCTTCTGCCTAACATGTTATGTTTCAGTATTATTGTGTATTAAATCATTATACAATTACACTTATAGTTTGTTGAGTTCAGCGGGGCATTTAAAATCCATGCCAAATACTGGATAGCTCTTATTATAGTTTTCTTCTATGCAATGCAGAACATCTCATGTACTTAGGTTTTGTTGAATAAAATGTCTTGTATTCTCTCAGAATTACTAGAACCCAAACACTCCCACATATTCCTGAACTATCTCTAATGACAGTGTCTTTCAAAATATCTGTGATAAGGCCCTCCCTGGTGGCGCAGCAGGTTAAAGCATACCACTCAGAAGTTAAAACCACTTCAGCATGAGATTCTTCCCTGCCTGTCCCTAAGATGATCCACACTGCACGGCAGACCACTCCTGACCCGCCCACTGCTCCCCTCGGCAGAGTACTTCGTCAGCCGGCCTGTTCTGCTCCCCACACTATCTCTAGTGAATCCTCTCACCGCCCCTGCACCTCTGGCCTGTGTACCCTAATTCTGTATGTATAAATAAATAAATCTTTAAAAAAAAATCTGTGATATTAGTACCAGCTTTCCCCAAGTACATTTGTCCCAAATCCATACTTTTATAAAACAGTCATTAAGAAAAAAATAAAAATAAAAATAAAGACATGTAAAATACACGGGCCATTTTATTATTGTATTCAACAATAAAAATTACTCTGTTAAATTACTATAAAAGATTCTAAATGGCTACTGTCATGTTTTGTATTTCTTCATGACGTGTAGACAACAAATAGTTCACAGACCAGCTCTGGTCCATGAACACTGTGAATAGCACTATCTGTGGACAGTACTACTTTCACTCTGAATTGCTAGTAAAAATAAAGCAATAGAAATGTGAGTTATGATTATACTTATAACTTTTATCCTATACTTCCTCTGGCAGAGACTAAAATAAACAATTCCATCCACATTGCCAACACTGTGCTACCTCCTCTCTTCTTCCTGTCCAAAACTTTGGACATACACACAAGTCCTATTTACTTTCTTTGTCAAAGGGCAACCTTGTCCTCTATGATATTGAATTCCTCTCTGCAAAGGCATATCAACATTATTTAGCCAGTGAAAAGTCCAGACCCCTTTAATAAGTCCAAAAACAAAAGAATAAAACAAAGTCTGATTTTAAAGGACTCCTACATTATACATGGTCAGAGTAACCAAGATGTTGCCTATTTCACTGCTTGTTCATCTATAAGTTTATAAGTAAATCTTGTATATGTTCTCCAGATTGCTACTCAACCCCCTGGGTCCACACTGCACCAACTCCACCACTCAGCACATGAAATATCACAGAGTAGGTTTTCCTTTCAAGCATGACTTTTTTTCCCTTAAGACAACAATATATTATTTGTCCAGTAGAATTTGTTCTAAGTATTAACTTTTTGTCAGTAATGTCCCTTTAATAATATTGTCACTTGAGGTGAATCTGAAGTTTTCATGCTGTCCCAATCATAATTTTATCAGCAAGTGGAGTTCAATATCAAAGTCTACAGAAAAATGTGTTAAAATTTTTAAATTCTTTCAACATGCTATCATCTTTACAATTTTCATTGAAAGGAGTCTAGGTTGCGCAAATGCATTCAAATGCTCATATTATTCTCAACTTTAAGATAAAGTATGTATTAGACTGTGAGTTTTAATTATTAAAATCTACTATAATAACAGTTTATAAAAATTAAATTTTTTATCATGTATGAGTCTGTGGGTGGTATATAACATATTTTACAATTATATAAAAAAAACCATTTTTAACTTGAAACTTTCTATTTTAATTTCTGATAACTACAATACACTGATATATGTAATCACAAATATTAAATTTCTAGTGTCAACCAAAAACAGAAACATATACTCAGTTCACATTTAGAAGAAAAATTTGCTATGCATCTTTTTAAATATTAATTTCATTTTCTTTTCAAATAACATTAATCAAGTGGAATTTGACATCTGTATATTTTATATAATTAAGCATGAGCTTACCTTTCTCTTGGACCCTGAAGCAACTCTGGCATCTGCTTTGGATTTATCTGCAAGATAATAAAGTACAGCTGCTTCAAAAAAATATCTATTCTCCTGTTCAAGTAAGTGCAAAGTTACACAATTATTATTTTCTACTTTCTTATACACTGATATGTGTTTGCAATGGTTATTTTGACCAAAATGCAAATAAACTGAACTTCCCAGAGCTGGCTAGAAGAGAGTAATCCAATCCAACCAAATGATTCATATACTAATCTGACAAGCCTGCCTCCCTTAAATCTGATCAGCTCACTGGATGTCAAATTATCGTCTAGTATACTTGATTATAGTCATGCATTTCTTCATGACATGGATACTTTCTGAAAGATGCATTTTTAGGTGATTTTGTTCTCTTGTCACTTGCAAAAGTCATAGTATGAGATTACATCAACCTAGATGGTACAGTCACCTACACATCTACCACTGGCATATATGCGCTCTGTCAACTAATTTGTGTCATTAAGCAACACATACCTACATCAGGGTCTGGTTAGCTGTATGCTTTGGAGTATACAGAATCAAAAATAAACCCCAGCTACCACTAGTGGCACACCTTGTGCCAGATATGGACTAAAAACTTTATATAAGCAGTCACTTAGTCTTATGAAATTCTTGTAATGTATGTTATCCAGTCCCACTTCACAGCTGAGGAACTTAAGACTAAGACAAGTTCAATACCTCGCCTGAGATCATGCTGTGGGGGCAGACCCTTATGACTGCAAGTCCTGATCTGTCCAGGTTGTCTGCCCCTTCCCTCTCTCTGAGCTGCCAAGCAGTGCCTCACAAAAAGAATCAGTAAGAATGACGATTTTTCTTATTATACTCCACCTAAAGCCAGAATATCAATCAAATATAATGTAGAAAACTAGCTTTGTATGTATTCTTTAGTATGTATATTTAAATGCATCTGCTTTAGGGAAAATTTTCGGCATGGTAAACAGGATATTTTAAAAATATACAAAATTTAAAATTGAACTCCATTATTGAATGGATAAATGTATATATTTATTCATAAATATATTTTATAAACTAATATGGCAATGAAGTATGGATATTAATAATAAAGTTTTAGGGTTATATTTAAAATGAAAGAAAACTACAAAGAAGTACAATTTACCAATACAGTAATATAATTCACAATAAACATATAAAACAAATATCCATCAATATTAGTAAATAAATAGTATCTAAAAGCAAATTTTTCACTAGATAAAAGTTATTGGCATAAAACACGGGTCCAGAAGTATTATAGGTATAGATTTCATTCATACCTATAATTAGCTGGCCACATATAAACTGTCTTCTTTTCTATCCTCAGTTGTATGTGTGAAATAATCCTTTCTTCTGGAATACCCTTTCCTCTATTAAGAACATATAAGATCATCTGCCATCTCTGCTGACTGTTCCAACTAGGATAAATACCCACCTCTTTTTTTTTTTTTAATTTTTGTTTTCTTTTTAAATTTTTTTTTCTTTTATTACAAAGTTTATTTTTACACCATTTTGCATATTTTTTTTCCATCTCGATTGTAATCCCCGCGGGTTTCCCATCACCAAATCACCCCTGT